TCGTGTGCTCGAAATCCAGAAAGCTCGAGCAGCTGCTGCTCTGAAATGCAAAATTCTGTGCTGTTGATGAAAAAGACTCAGATTCTCAAAGCTTTCCTAGATAGAAGCAGACTGCCACAACAGTTATGTAAGGGGCCTAAAAATTAGCCGTCGAATTTTTGCGGGGCAATAACTAACCATGCAATAAATGGGAACGTTTCCTTGAAACAGCGACTGACGTGAATGAATGATCCAACAAGTTTGGCAAAAGAAATGCCCACAACTTAGTGCAAAACCAGCGTCATCTTTCGCGCAGCACACGCTGCACTCTGTCCGGCTGCTCTGCACAGCACTCACTGCCGTACGCTGAAAATCCAGAAAACATTCAGGACTGGAATTAACCAACGGCTACCTTAATCATCATCTTAACCACTTTTATGAGCTGTATTTTTTTCATTTATGGGGGTGCAAAAATGCACATCGGAAGGAAGCGCCCTATTCTGCTCTGTTTACTCGTTCTCTCGGCCACTCGATCTCAACTTCGTCGACAGACACATAAGAAAATTGGTGCTTTTGATAAATTAGCCCAGAACAGTATTAGTCTCTTGACTTCGCTGAATCTCCAGCTGCAGCCCAGGGAACTGGGAACGAAATCTGCCTACATTGCGCTCCACATAACATTTTATGTGCATGCTAATGCGACTGATTGAATGAAATACTTGGAAAGCTAATCCGCATTTTTGACATGTAACTGCCAAGATGCAGATGACAGAAAGACAACTTCAAGGCCACTCGAAGTAATAAGAAGTGAGGGATTGCATTGCCAAATCTTCAATTCATGGCTTTTTAGACCCGAAAATGCACGGAGGTAAAGATTAAAGTCCACAAGAGAGATCGCTGGAAAAAGCCGTATCGCGATTAAACAGACCGCAGTGACATCCTGGCATGCCGTATCCCTAAAATACGAGCATTTCTTTCAGATAAGATTTAGGAAGAACAGCTTCTCGCGCTACAGTGTTACATTAAACCGATGCTGCTCTTTTCTCCCGAGTAAAATCAAATTTTATTCGTTTTTCTCCATCCTTTGAACTGACAAAGGTTCTTGTTCCTGAAGAAAAAACACTTAAGTGTTTTGCTTCTATTTTGGACAGTAAAAGTGTCATCGGATCAGCGAAATGATTTAATCGCACATGCCAATAACCACCTCAATTCTGCCTTGTCACTGCATTGTCGGAGTTTGCTACTTCCAGTAAGTTGAACGAACCTTTTCTTTCCAGTAGTCATAGTCGTATAATGATGGCTGATTGCCAAGACCCCGCTTAAAACATTTTACATTGGCGAACATCGTTGAAGGGCAAAGGTTCGCTGGACTTGGTAGCTTATGGCAGGCAGCTTTCGATGACAAACTGCATTCACGAGTAACACTG